CATAAAATATCTTTCAAAGTACTTAAACACTTAGGACGAAGAATTCATCACTATGGTCAATTCAACAGCTTGCTATAGGATCACACTGATTTTCATTGAAACGCCGGATATCGTTCGGAAAACCTATAGGACGATCAATCTCAACATTAAGAAATAGAAAGTTCATAAGCACATGTTTACCGTCGTAAACAATTGTATATTTTCACTGTCTCGAGCTCATAGACGACTATTTTTGTCCGATATCGTACTCATTTGAAACATTGAAAATGAAACGACCTGAACAAAAAACCAATTAGATTAATAAAAGAAGAAACTACTTACTCTTGATCGGATATATTCGTCAAAAAATAATCTAAAGCAATAAAAACGATAAAAATAACTAATTTATACTTACTATTGATCGATTTTACTTTTGATATGACTTAAAATAAGTTTTTAACAAGATTATATAGATAGATTAAACGTACTATTCATTCTATTGATACCAAAACAAGATTATCTAAAGTAAACAAAAACAAATAAAGTCTTTAAAAATAAATTGTAGCTTATCAGTTGACCTCTTTATTACGATGAATCCAAACGACAAAAGAAGGATTTTAGCGAATTTCATCGGATTCCAATAGGGTGATTTTAATTGGAATAATAATGAAAAATATCATCTTTACTGTATATTCATCGTATGATGTATTTTTCAGGCTTTTGATTGCTCAACTATATTGAAGATACACTAGATGTATATACAAATAAAACTATTCAAGCAATGTGAAAAAACAAACAAGCTAAATTTAGTGTCGATTGTTATATTCGAAAATATATCTTAAAAGTGTATCAAAATGACAAAAAACATTATCCGGAATAGCAAAATGGTTGTTTCTAACATTTAGTATGTCGAAATCGATTGAATTCTTTTATATAAATAGTTTCTTTGCGTTTTCAACGATTTTTAACTAATCTAATTATAGCTAATGTTTTTATTTGTGTGCATTTTTGTATATTTGATTATGAAATAATTGCAATGATTAGTTTTATTTTTAAAAGAAATATTTTGAAGTTATATTCTTTTTCTGCAAAGTTATGTGCAGGAAGAACTTTACCGGTCGTCACAGAAACACAAAAAACAAATTCAGGAAACCAGGACATTAGTGTTATTTAGCAAATCTAGTACGGCAATGGGTACTTTGAATTAATTGTAGATTATTATTATATGATGTCAATTGTGAATAAGAGTTTATTTCGATGAAAAACTTTTGTGTCGTTATTAAAAATAAATTTTACCGGAAAAGTTTTTTTTCTATTATTTCAAGATTATTCTGTACTCTCTATCAGTCACTGATGTATTTATCTTATTATCTCACATTGTTCTCATTATATAATGATAAAGAACAAAAAAAAACCAATTTCTAAAGTTTTATTTTTATACATCTTTACTTTCTTAATAATTCATGACTTTCTTAAGTCACATTACATATAATTCTTGAAGCATCAATGTCATTATTATAGAATGACAAATTTTATTGAAGCTCTTATTTTAATTGCTACATGGCTTAATATTATTAACAATATATTCATGTTTATATTCAGTATTGTTATCAATTGTTTAACAATTTATGTCCTTACTAGACATACATTTCATAGTACTATTTCAGTTCTTTATTTATTAACCTGTTCAATTGCTTGTTGTGTTCAATTTATTCATACATTTTTACCACACTTATTTAGTGGTGCATTTCAAGTACTCAATATTAATTCTAATGATTAGTATGATATACTGACAAAAAAAAAATCTGATGATTTTTTGTATTACTATTCAAGTTTATGTTGGAATTTTTTTGTCGTTGTATTTCCCACTCAGGTATTAAGTATATTATTTTCATTCTATGAAGTATTCAATTATGTTCCTGTACATAGATACAAAAGGTGTTGAAAAAAAGTTTAATAACAACGTACTTTTAGTGTTTTTTTTTCTATAATGTTCAGCAGATGAGCTATGAAGGCAAGGCTTGTAAAAAAAAATTGGACATGATAATTGTCAAGGACTAGAAGTTACTTTTTTATATTGGCGTTTTTTAGGCAATTTTTTTGATAAATTTTGTATGACATCGTTAAAAAGAAGTAGCTTCTCATCATATTAAAAAAAAAACTTCCTTGACTATTAAAATCACTATATGAATTCGAGCTAGGTGCTGAGCATTAGAAAAAAAAAATAACAAAAATATGTTGTTGTTAACCTTTTTCCCCATCACCTTATATCGTTCTTGTTCGTTTCTTTTTATCTCACGCGATACTGTCGCTGTTGTTTTATTCATTTCTTATGTATTAATAAACTAGATATTTAACCTTAACTTCTAACTTTCAAAATCGTTAAATTTATATTGTAATCGTTCCTGTAGCTTCATTCTGTGTTATCAATATTAGCCATCATTTGATTAATTGGTTCACTTTTATTTTCACATATTATTTATGTTCTAACGAACGAAGGGTTCGAAGTGACAAATCACTTTTAAGTTGAAACTATATTCAATTCATAGAGCCTGGCTAGTAGATACATATCCGATAGTGGTTGGAGCTGCAAGACTTCTGTTGCTGAGATATTGAATTTTTTAATGTATTTATCCTATAGCGTCCTAGTTTTTAAGCGAAACAATACTTGAGAGTTTTGATCTGAAATTTTACCTACACAAAGAGATCGATTAGACTAGCTTGTAGAAGCTTAGAAATAGTTGGTCAAAAACATTCGAAAATTTTCTCTACAAGCTTGTCTAATGTGACATAAGTTTCAATATCTCAGCAACAATAGTAGTTGTATTATTGTAAATTTTTCCTCATTGATTTGTATACGTAGTAATATAATTTATAAGCTTTATTTATTCATATAAGATTATTGATATGACTACTTCAACAAATATTGATACCTCAATTAATTATTTTATAATTTTATTTCAATTTACTTTGTATTGTTCAACAACTAATTAATATGAAAAATATATTTAATTTTTGTCTGATGTCATCGTTGTCTAAAGTTAAACAAAAAAAACAAAATGTTTTTATGATGTTCTCTGATATTTAAAATTTCAATTACGTTTTTTTTGAAAAATATTTTTCTATAATTTGTTTTTATAATTATATCACAAAGCAATCTAGTTTTTGATCAACTCTAGAACAAGAAATTTTATCAATGTTGGGAATGTAGGATCCAATAGGAATTTTACTGACATCAATTAAATCAAAGAATAAAGCATGCAATGTAAATAGAAAATTATATTATCGACAATAACATGAACTATTAAGTGACAGTAACAACTATCCGATCATAGAAATCATATTATTTCGAACATAAAAAGCGTTCATAAACTATTTTTCATGATTAAACAAATACAAAGACAAGTACATCGATGAACCTGTTGTTTTCTTTTTTTGTTTTTCCATATTCCGCATAATCACAAGAGATCAGCTGTAATCAATTTATGAATCATTGGACGACTCGTGACAGACATTGATGATTAAACAAACAATCAACTTTTTTTTTTGTTTTTTTATTTAAATCTCTGTATAGATTATGGAAAAAACAAAGAATTATTTAAGATAATTTTAATTATTTTGTTTTTTATTCATATTCCAGACAACATCAAAACAGTCAAGATTAGCATATTATTTAGACCTTTTTGGGTTTTTGATTATAATCAGCTGCATGAAATGCAAGATTCTCCCAATAGATCCGCTTTGCACGTTGCTGTTGTTGTTGTAGTTGATCATGTCTATCTGGTACAACTAATAACGATAGACTGTCAATGGGTGAATCATATAATTGATCTTGATATTGTCTTATTGGTACACCAGCTATAAAATAAAAATTAAAAAAGAAATCATAATCATCGCAATTCAATATGAAATACTTACATAAATAATTAGCTGCTACTGAACGTTCTGTCAGTAATTCATCATTGTTTTTGAATTCAGACTGAAGACGTTGAGCATTAAGCATGGGTAAAATAAATAATGAGATAAGGATCAAAGCAAACATTTGTATTTAGAAAATAGCTGAGTTTTCAAATCTTCAAAAGATATGGCAATCAGTACGCGAAGAATTTTTGAAAAAAAAAAAGAAGCTATTTAAAAAATTACTTACTTGAATTAATCAATAGAAATGCTATTGTTTAAAACAAGGCTGATTTTTTTCCGACTTTAAATTATCTTAATATCCTGAATACATCGGAACTACTTCTATAATTGAAATACTCGGTACTTATAATAAATATCGACATAGAATAGTATCTCACTGTCAATAGGTTAAAAAAAAAGTGTTTTAATTATTTAAATTTCCGTTTAACAAATAAGACTACTCTTTCTACATATTTCGATCAGTAAAATAAATCTATACACTTAAGTTATGTTTAGGATAGTTTTCTTATATGTGACCAAGATTATGAGTAGTTGAATAAAGTATTCGACATGAAAATAAACGAACGAAAAGGTTAACTTGAATAGGAAAATTAAGAAGATACATCTATATAGTTTGACAAGCAATGTAAATCGGAAGGAAATGAGTAGACAGATGGTAGATAGGAAAAAAGTTGTTAGACTAATGAACAAATTTATAGAAACACCAACTCATTTTTGATCTTCTAAGGCGATTGCATCGAGCGTAATCATCATGACTTTGTTATGAGTATCACTATTTATCAGGCGTTTTTTTTTCGATAAATATTCAAGTAGGTTAAGTTATTATCTTCATAACTTTAAGGCAGATTCATCTAGCAGAAAATGAATTGTCATCTAGTGACCTCTATTAAATAATCGAATGCTGATTTTATAATAGATATTATAAATATCTAATGCAATATTTTTTACTAAATAATCTCTTTACTTTTTATTTTAATTAAATTTAAAAAAACAAAATTAAAATATTTCAAAATAAAACTCGATTGGTAATACGCTTGTCAATTTCTCCATTCATCGTTTTTGACCGATACTGTTAATTCAATTGAATTGATCACTAGAAGTTCATCTATATGACCATGACTGAATTTGTTCAGCCAGTCAGTCAATCAAGTTTGCATGTAAGTAAAATAAAAAGATCGATTTTGATGTTTTTTTTTTTTAATTTGCTATTTATTCGTTTAAGCTTCAAGTCGGATCAATGAATGATGTAGATCGATTAAGTGGTTCATTACAATATATTGATCATCATCATATTCCTCAATCTATTATAGAAGATAATACGAAAAAAAAAGAAAAAAACAAATTAAAGAAAAAAGAAGTAAAAAACAAAACAAGACAACGAAATCCTAATTTAAATATTTGTTTGTTTTTTTTTTTAATTTAGGAAGAAAATGAAAAACGTGCACAACATGAACGTGAAAAAGAAGAAAAAAAAGCACGTAAACAAGAAGAAAAACAACGTAAAAAATCAAAAATTGAACAACAATCATTATCATCAAAACGAATTATTAATACTCAACTTATTAATAAATCTAAAGCACGAATTATAATGTTAGATGATACAGAAGAATTAGTAGATTTAAGTGTATGTAATAATAAAAAAAAAAAACATTCTATTTTTAAAGGAAAAAACAAAAAGATAAGTTTTTTTTTAGAAAGATGATACAGGTAAAGTACTATATAATCGTGTATGTGATTTAATGCGATTAGAAGAAAAAGATTATTTTGGTTTAATTTATATTGATAATGAAAATAATAGAGTTCGTATGAATTTAAATAAGAATTTTTTTTTTTCTATTGCAATTCTTTTTATTTTTTAGTATTGGCTTGATAATGATAAACGTGCACGAAGTCAATTGAAAGGTAAAACAAAAAAAAAATTATTTAAATTGAATAAGAATAAAAAAACGATTTCATTTGATTATTTTAAGGTCTTGATTCAATCTTTTATTTTCAAGTTAAATTTTATCCACCAGAACCAGCTTTACTTCAAGAAGATATTACGAGGTTTGTTTTCACCAATAATATTATTAATAAAAAAAAATCACAATTTATAAGTAACATCGAATTGACCAATGCGTCAGTCCATTTATGAATACTCTCTTGTAACACTTCTATAGCTTTAATAAACAATACATATGAGTTCGGAAGATTTTCAACCAGCAAAATTTCAGTTCTAAATATTGAAATACCTTTTCAGCTATGTTAAATAATTATTTCACTTACAGTAAAACCTCTCATAGTGGACACTAACTATGAGTTCAAAGAGAATGTCGTGATGACTATCATTAGTTATTTAACATAATAACTCTTCTTTATGGATCGGATGATGGAATGGAAAAAAGATACATCTCAGTGGTAGAGAAAGAATACGTTCTTTGTATTGAATAGAAGAGACTGGTATACATATAGAATCACATTGAAAAATTTGTGTCCTTTTTGTTACAAGTATTAAGAGAAAGAGATCATTATGTCTAATCGATGAATGTTGTCTGCGGAACAAAAGATTGTACTAATTAAGGTTAATTAAAGTGGTCATAGCTTATCAGGTTGATCTTTTTTATGGCTGAGCAACAAACTCATCTGTACGATCATCTCTGATCTTGAATCATAACTAAGTGACATTTATCTATATTTGAAAGCGATGAAACAAAGTTCTATCAAAGATTTTTGTGATAATTGTTGATTTTTCTATTTTTCAAAAGTAAAATATACGAAAAGAAAAGTAATAATGTGCTCTATCGTGATTATTTTATTCTCTAATACTCTAGATGTCTAGAAACATGTCGACATATTTGAAAAAGATGTTCGTTTTGGGAAACACGTAACCTATCTATAGTGAACACTTTTGAAAAGTCCGAAGAATGTCCACTATAGAGAGATTTTATTGTAATTGATAGATTAAGCGTATCGGTTGCATGTATATATTGTCCATTTTTACTTAGATAATGATCTTTATATAAGATTTATTAGCGGTAGGTGATGATAGCTTTTCATTTGTCTGCTAAAACTTGCAATCTATCTAACAAAAAGCTTGTCATGCGGAACTAACATATATTCTTTAACTTTATTATATTAATACAAAACTCGTCAAATAAAAAAATTTCTATCAGACTATAATTACGATCTGTTTCATTTATTTCGAATGTAAAAGCTTTTTACTTGCGAATCTATGCTTTATTTTTATCTTGCTGCTTCATGCGAATAAAAATAGTTTCTTTACAATAAAATCAAATAATTTATTCATTTTATATGCTAAGTATAAATTTTTTCGTTTGCTCGAGAGTTATCTCGATTTGTTGTTGTGAGTAAAGGAATTGAAATACTCAAAAAAAAAACATTAATTACGACTCAGCTACTTTAATTAAAATTAATAATTATTGTAAATTTTTTAATAGATATCAATTATGTCTTCAATTACGAAAAGATATTCTTTCTGGAAAGTAAATTAGTCGATTTTATTTTTGAAAACTTCTATTCATAGTTTGTTTTTTTTTTTTGTTTTATAAAGATTACCTTGTTCATTTGTAACTTATGCTTTATTGGGTTCATATACAGCTCAAGCTGAACTAGGTGATTATAGTGAATTAGATCATGGAATATCATATGATTATCTTAAAGAACTTCAATTTGCACCTCAACAAGATGAAGAATTATTAAAACGTATTCATGAACAACATAAAAGACATAAGTATGATATATATATTTATTCTTTTATTTTGTATTTTTTCTATTTATCTAGAGGTCAACCACCAAATGCAGCTGATTTACATTTTCTTGAAAATGCTAAAAAATTAGCTATGTATGGTGTTGATATTCATCCAGCACAAGTACGTGTTGTATTTTTTATTAATTTAATAAAAAAAAAACATTATTGACGAATTTTTATAGGATTCAGAAAATGTTAATATTAATATTGGTGTTTCAGCTAATGGAATATTAATTTATCGTGATAAATTACGTATAAATCGTTTTGCTTGGCCAAAAATATTAAAAATATCTTATAAACGAAAATATTTCTTTATTAAACTTCGACCAAGTGATGTATGTATTTTCTTTAATACAAAAAAAAAATGATTTAATTGAATATAAATCTTTTTTTTTTTTCTTTTATTATTAGTTTGATCGATATGAAAGTACTATAGGTTTTAAATTACCAACATATCGAGCAGCAAAATCTTTATGGAAAATTGCTGTTGAACATCATGCTTTTTTTCGGTAGGATTTTATTTGAATAAAAAAAAAACCTCAAAATTGTTTGTTTTCAAGTTTACGTCGACCAGAAGAAATTCGCAAACGACCTATTTTACCAAGATTTAATTCAACATTTCGTTATACAGGAACATATACATATCATCAAACTCGACAATTATTACTTGATAGACCTAATCCTGATTTTGAAAGATCATTAAGTAAACGAATGACAAGAAGTCTTGATGTTTGTAAGTTTAATTAAGATGTTCGACACTTACATATAGATATAGACAAGATAGTTCCGGTGGAACTGAGACTAATTTTCATGTCTTATGTGTTCTAAAGGTTTAAAGTAACGATTACTTAAAAATTTGATAGTAAAACGATTTATTCTATTCATCATTATCCACATCCTGAAATCCTAAGCAATTAAATAAAAACATATTTAGTTTAAAGAATTGTATTTTTTTTTTTTTATTATTTTAGCTGGCGGTGAAACAATACGACCGTTACCACGTCCTCAAAGTGTTGAACCATTTTTTCAAATACCAATTCTTGAGGTATTTTATTGTTTAGTTGTTCTTTTTTTTTTTTTTTAATACTTATTAGTCTTCTCTAGACATAGAAATATTCTTTAAGGTAATATGAATAAAAGATAAAAAAAAAAAGAATGCCTGTTTTAAAAATCCGCTAAAAAAAAACTGCATGGATTTGCTGTTCCAAATAATTCTTATGATTTATATTATTTAATAATCGAGTGTTCTTTTTTAGCATGATGAAGATGAACATCTACCGACAGCGGCTTATGCATATGTGAAGAAAAAACCTGAACGACCACCAGTAAATAGTTTACTTTTGTATATATATATATATAATAATATGTTTGTTATTTAAGGTTACACCACCACGAACACCACAGCCATCAACAATACGTGTATGTTATTTTGAAAAAAAGTAGAGAGCATATATCGAAGACATGAGCTGATACCCTTAATAGTTCGGACTTGTCGATCTAGTACTAAAAACATTATTAAATCAGATATGTCAATTGCTATCATCGAGTTTCTATATGAGATATATTTTTTCATTGTAAAATTTGAACATGATGTGGATTTGAGTATTCAATTGAACTACACTCATTCCTGCCCCGAATAATTCAAAATTTACTATAGTCATCTTACAGAGTATATCGATTTTCAAAATAATCGATTGCAAAACCTTAGAAAGATAGAAAACTGCAATTCTTAATCTTGATTCTATCAAAATTTATTTTAAAAAGTTTCTACTCATCTTTTTTTTTATAAATGGGTATTAACTCCTAATTGCACTTTTAGAGGATTAAGTAAAAAAAAAATGACGACTAAATGTGTCCTGAAATAGATAAGATAAGATAATCTCCTTGTGATTATCAATAGTAGGTACATTACGTTTTATATTTTAATCCTATGTGGACTACACTAAAATCTTTTTATAATAATATATATAGATTTGATTTATTTCTTCGTTAAAAAATTGTTGAATATTTTTTCTTTATCGATTCTGTTTATTATGACTTTAGGAAGTTAAACCGAAACGACCACCACCACCGGCTGATTATGCTAATCTTCCAGTATGATATTATGAAAACTGTTTATTTATATAATTTTTTTTATCTTGTTTTAGCCTGAACCGCCAGCTCGTCCGACAATAATACATCGAGAAACATCATCAACAATGAATCCTGATGATGTAAGAAAAATAAATAAATTATTTAATTTAAAAGTATTTGTTTTGTTTAGGCTCTTCTTGCAGCTATTCGTCTAGCAACAGATCTCGATCCGAATAAACAAGCTGAACAAATCGTGATGGCTAATAGTTAAATTTATCTGTCATGTTTTTTGATCATTTTCTTTTCCTTTTATCTGTTTTGTGGTAGTTTTTCATGTATATTTCTTTTCCGCAATATTCGCATATCATCTTATTAATGTTCTTTTCTTTGCATATATGCAGACAAATCATTCTTATTTCGATAATAAATTATCAGGTTATTCAATATTTAATTAATTATTATATGATTAAATATTCTAGTAAAATTAATATATAAATAACTGATATAAAAAAGCTCAACATTTGATGAATACAAGGTGAATCGTACATAAGATGTACGATAAAATTTCCATCTCAATACAATTATGGTTATCCTTCTCTTTTTCTCAACCATTTCTGGATGTGAGTGAAGTGTAGGTAGGTGTGTGTATGCGCGGGAGTTGAAAGAAGTCTCATATCCACACTCGAAATGAAATTCTAATAGCTGTAACTAAAACATGCACTAGTCTTGCAATGTTTTATCCATAATTCAAATTAGTTGACACATGTTGTCAAACTTATTAGTTATAGTTTCATTGCGACAGATCTGCATTGTAATTAGTATGATTCTTATTTTCGATTTTTATTCAATAAGGTTTAAATTTCTAACTCTGATGCTATGTTTTGCACTATTTGAAACATTTTAATTAAAGAAGCTCACATAGTTTATACTAAATTATCATCTGATGTTCATTGACGTTGTTTTCTTGTTTTTTTATCCGATAATAACACCAGGTTCAACAGTTCTTACTGGCCTTGAAGTGCTAATTCATGAATCTAAATGTACACAATAAAAAATGATTTTAATAACATTATTTTCTACATCTGATGAAATTAAACATATTGGTAAACTTTATCCTGATATAACAAGTGTTTTATCACACATTAATAATATTTTAATTTTTTTATTAGTCCAAGAGGAAATAAAAAAGATTGATTTCTTTCTAGATGAGGATTCTTATTTTACAAATTGGACAAACGAAAAAAAATAATCATTCATGGATTGATCAAGCATTGTCATCATATAATCTTATTGAGCAATATTCTGAAAAAGATCTTTCAAATAAAATAATATTTGGGCACTTCCATGGGAAGTATACCATAAAAACACAAAGATTTCAGAAAATGTTTTGAGGTATCAGAGCTTGTAGAGTTTTTTTGTGCTGATCATTTTGATAAAAAAAAATTTTCTTTTCATCAAAAAATCAGCAGTGTCCAAGAACTGAGGCTTGGGAATTCTTCCAATTCCTAAAAACACCAGCTAAAAGTGGCAAATTTCCCCGAGGAACTGAGAACTGACCCTCAAACACCTCACAAAACCTTGTCAGTTCCCCCATCGATTCCTCCAGATGAATAAATCTCAGTTAAATATGACGCCAGTTTGTAACCTCGATAACTTTCCATTTCCTCAATTTCTCCCCGTGCAAATCGACCACTGACAGTTCCTCAGACAAGGATCCGAGGAAATAACTACTGTTGAATGTCAAAATCTATCAGGAGATCTGACACTGACATTAGCCATTATGATTTAAATGCCATAGTAAGGTTTCTGACCAGGAGAATTGCCAAAAACATCCAAGAATACGCTGGGGAACTGAGAAGTTACGCCAGTTCTGCTGACAATTTCGAAGAATTGAGGTAGAAACATAGAAGATACCTACCGTCAGTTCCCCAACATTTTTCGCTATCTGCGATAGTTATTGTGTCTAATGTACATTACACCAGTTCCTCAATTTCCCGGAGAATTGAGGGTAGGTACCTGCTATGTTTCTAACTCAATTCCTAGAAAGCGTCAGCAGAACTGCCATAATTCCTCAGTTCCTCGGCGTATCCTTCGATGTTTTTGGCAATTCTCCTGGTCAGAATCCTTACTATGGTATTTAAATCATGATGGCTAATGTCAGTGTCAGGTCCTCCAATGGATATTGACGGTCAGTAGTAGTTATTTCCTCGGGTCCTTGTCTGAGGGACTGTCAGCGGTCGATTTCCACGGGGAGAAATTGAGGAAATGAGAAGTTATCAAGGTTAGGAACTGACAAGGTTTTGTGAGGTGTTTGAGGGTCAGTTCTCAGTTCCTCGGGGAATTTGCCACTTTTAGCTGGTGTTTTTAGGAATTGGGAGAATTCCCAAACTTCAGTCCTTGCATGCCCCTCCAAAAAATAACGGCGATAGTGTCAAAATACTGAAACATGAAAAAGTCTTATCGGTTACTTGTTTTTTGCAGTATTTTGACTCTACCAGCGTTATTTGTCAATGAAATGGGACAAAATTTTATGTCAAAATGATCAGAAAAGAAAGTTCTACAAGCCCTGATGTCTCAAAACATTTTCTGAAATCTTTGGGTTTATATGTTTGGCTATCTATGACTATCCATGTTCAAAAAGTTGATCACCATATAACTCAAAATGGCTATATTTCTGCACAATGGAACTTTGTGGGTTTTGTAGAGCGGAGTCTGCTCTACAAAAGCTCTATACACGGCAATCGAAACACGCCGACAAAATAGTGGGTAAAATTCGACAAAACACTAAGAACTATGATTATTCCGGAAAAAGAAGATCATTTATGCATATTGCTTTGAAATTCCATTTGTTTGAGCTGAAAATTGCAGTATGGTGACATCTGAGAAGTCGAACGATGAAGTCGAAGAAGATTTCTAAGTCTATTTTGGCGCAATTGAGAGTATCTGAACAGTGATTTCGATGAAAACTTTTTCTAACATGTTATTTTGTCGAGTCAACGATGTATGATTTGAATTTATATAAAAGAATTTACATTAGAGAGCCGACTCTAACTCTGATCCGTTAAACAGTGACTGATTATATGGAAATATGATTCATCTTACTCTTATGGTTATGACACGTTTGTATGATATGGCGTCTAGGACGCATGACTAGTGGTATTAACTACGTAGATTCATTCTCTTTTTTTCCTTACATATATGTTTCTTTCCTTTTGTCAGGTTTTTTTGTGGTTGTTTCTCTCTTAGTTTCTTCCTTTCTTTTTGGTATATATATTTCATGTGCTCCAAGATAATGTGAATACCGTATGGTATATTCCATTGTATCTTCCATTTAGAACGTTATCTAAACAGGTACTGTTATCTGTCTGCAGAGAGTAGTGAGGCTGAGTTTACTGTTTTCCAAGATATTTCGAATTTACGAATAAACATATACACATCAAAATAGAGTGGATCTTTCAGTTAGTATTTTCAAAACTCATTTTCTACGCTACATCAATTAGTTTCAAAAAGTCAGAAACATGCCGTACAAAAAGAAGATCTGGTGTGCCCATCCTGTGCATACTAAAGATACTCGATCAGGATGTAATCCATCGCATCCTAAGGGTCGAATGACTATTAACGCCGTCCAAGCTGATTTGATCAACGAACATACTGTGGCTCCCAAAATTATCCGACAAAGTGTAATTTGCGCCTTATTCGGTAACTGTCAGTGCTGAAAGAAATCCAAATAGTGATTTGCATAGAGGAAATTGTTTCCAATACGAATCTGACAAAATAAGGATCATGACTTTTTTTTCAAAAACAGGGTTTTCAAAAAACCAAAAACCTAGTTTTTCAACACGTAGAACCCGCGAAAAAAGCTTTTCTTTAATAGTATACAATGTGAGAAAAGCCGATTCTCTACAAAATGAGACGTCTCCGAGCTTTCTACGACCTTCACTTCAAAAGTTATAAACATCGCAAAAATCGAAAAAAGTCGTTTTTTAGCGATTTTTCGAAAAATTTCACTTTTTTTCGGTTTTTGCGATGTTTATAATTTTTGAAGGAAAGGTCGTAGAAAGCTCGGAGACATCTCATTTTGTAGAGAATCGGCTTTTCTCGCATTGTATACTATTAAAGAAAAGCTTTTTTCACGGCTTCTAGGTGTTGAAAAATTAGATTTTTGGTTTTTTGAAAAAAAAGTCATGATCCTTATTTTCTCAGATTCGTGTTGG